CAGCAGGAAACTGACTGTGCAGAGGAACAGGCTAATAACATGACTATATAGTGCTAGCTGTCCAAAACCACTTAATTCGCAACCTTAAAAACATTGCATTATTTTAATCTATTAGCAATGATTGTAAAATCCATCATCTTTGTCTAGCAAGTGCAATGTTACTTTTCTGCCCCAAAACACTTTGGAATTATACTGTTTCTTCAGGATGTAATTGTAGCTTTTTACTTAATACCAAACAGTAACATCTGATTTTTGTGTCACTGAAAAAGGAAAATTACAGCATATCATGTAACATCAGACTAACATCAGACTTGAAGTTAAAGTAGTTAAAATGCCAGCCCTGCTAACAGTTGGGAAGATTTCTTAACTAAATGCCTAAACAGGATTTGTGCCTTCTCAGAACTAAAACAAAAGGACAACATTCTAACTAGAAGCTTGCCAGTAAGTTAAACACAGAATCAGTTTCTATAGATTAAAAAAAGGGGTGACTGTTTAAGGAGCTATTCTTACAAAACCTTACTCTTCTTTTATATAATGAACTGTTGTGTCTACACTCTGGTTATGAAGTTGATTGCAGCTTATCCAAATATTGTTTGTAGCGCACTACACCACACCATTGGGATATTCAAACAAAGTGGCTGTGAGGCAGCTCAGGTGTGGATAGCAACCTTGCTACTACTGTAAAAACACAATGTAGCCTGAACAAAGACTAAATACTATATTAGCCTCGAGTGGCTACATTGAGTTGTGCTGCCTACTCATACTCCCTTGAGTATGGTAATTGATAAGACACCATAAAGCAATGGTAGTATATACTTTAAGGAATAAGCAGATTCCAAGACTTTAGGCTGTTAGGTAGCTACGTTGAACTTAAAACCTGCTTTGCCACAGCTTTTTCACAGCTGTGAAGCTACTAGATTGAAACTTGGCTTGGATCTAGCTAACTACAGATGTACCATCTGACTGCTCTTTAGGAGTCTTTATTCAAAGTTCCAGGAGTTCATCTAATATATTGTGAATACTTTGTATTAGGAAACACTCTGCCTTCCACTGCTCAGCAAATGGTGTAATAGCAAGAAATAAATGACCTCAGATGACTGTAGATACGTTTTTATCAGAGTTTGTCATAAAAACAATAAGTAATTGAGTGTATAAATAGTTGGATGGCAGTTCTTGTGAAAACATTTAAGAGTTTATTATCATTCATCTTTTAAAGTCTTTATCATTTGTGTGAAACTTTGTGACACTTATTTCATTACAGGTTTCAAGATGGCAGATATTTCAGAGGGGACAGATACAACTGGCAAGGTGACCATAGATCTAATCAGAGGCCAGACAGAAGCTGGGGTAATAACTACCAGCAGCACAGACAAGGACAATCTTACTCTTCCCACTATGGACAATATGGCTACAACTCCTACAACCCAGGGCCTCGTTACCATCCCTACTGATGACAGTTGTGTTTTGAAAGTCCGGTAACACTATGTAAAAAAAATTCAGTCAGTTGAGCTTTGTTTGTCTTCGGTTTTTTGATTTTTCACAGTTTTATAGATAAATGAAGAATCAGTATTAAAGTCCATTCCTGTTTATCTGTAGTGCAAACTGAAAAAGAAAGTACCCTTGATGAATAATAAAGGCGTATTAAACTAAGTTTGTGTAGAGACTGTAGATCTTAGGTTAAATTTCTATCCCATATTCTTCTTTGAATGCGTATTAGTACACTTTGTTACATTTTGGAAAACAGGTCGGGGGCTTGTCCGCAGCTTGTAGCAGTAGGACGTTGTCTTAAAACAGTTCTTTTTGAAAGTGACGTATCGTGTCTTTCTTTGGAGAGAAGTTCTAAGTTTGGCTTTGATAGTGAGGAAAACACTCAGTTTGGTTTGAATTTCAGATGTTTTAAAAGGAGAAGAGAGATGCTGTTAGAGAAGTACTTTATAGTGTGCTGGCATTTATGAAAACTCAGGAACTTCTTTTAAGTATTGATGAAGATGTGTGGCTTCTCAACATTTAATTTATTGGAATAAAAAGAATTGTATCAGAGAAACAAGATCTCGCATACAAGATAAATTCCTGTGTGTTGAATCAATGGATTCCATTTATACACAGTATTCATCTTAAAACATGGTAACAATTGAAATAAATTAACTGGTTTAAATATTTATCTTCTTACTCTAGTAGTTCAGCGGTACACAAATTTTATTTGAGAAGTGGTACCAAAATTGGAATAATTTATATCATCGTAAAATAAATTTGGTATGTGCATGACAAACTTTGGGATTCCTGTTTCTTTTAAGTAAACCTATAAAAATCATGATGACTGTAATTAGTTGTTATGAAGTGCTTCATGGACGTCTTAAAGAAAGGAACCCTAATAAGTACTGTTCTATATTTTTTGCATGAGAAAATAGCATAAGCAGTGTAGAGTATGTTTTTTTGGTTCTTAAATAATTTGAGTTTTTTTTTTTAACTACTCACACAAATAAAAGTATTTCAGGCTTAAGGATGTTTCTGAATATTTCTGAAATCTACTTTTGAAACATTTGGAATTGCAACACAGGCATCTAGGCTGACAGCTGCACAAGAATCACCACTAACTAGTAAGTGTTAATATTGGACAGATGCTAGTTTAAATTAGAAGAGTGGCCCACTCAGCTAAAATCAAGAAGATGAGACATATTGTGATTAATTAGAAGTCTACAGTGTTAATCCAGTACCTTGCATTCTACTATAACAGGGTCAAAGTTCTCTGTTTTGCTCTTTACTTGATAAGCTAATTTGTATCAGGAGAACAGTGCATTTTTTGTACTTGACATTTTCTTCAGCTATTGTACAGTAACACAGAACCCTTCAGGCTGAGTGTTGTTAAAGTCATTGCATCGCATCATGCTTTGTGATAAGGAGTTCAATTTAGTAGATCTTGATTTAAAAGCAAAGAATAAATACAGAAGTTAAAAGCATAGTCTTCCAGCTCATAATGTACTTTTAAAAGCTAAAGAGTAAGCTTACTCTTGATCTGAGAAACATGTGCTGTTTGTAGCTTTTACATAGTCTTATGATGCAAAAGCTGGGCCATTTACAGGTGTTTCCACCTACCTGCTAAGCATTTCTCTGTTTTCCCCTTTTCATATAATATTGGTGAGAGCTCCAGTTCAGTTTTTATTGTTCTGTTCCCTGAGGTATTTGCCTTGAATTTGATTGTTTAACCTGAGGAATGTGGTAGCACGAGGGTCATTTTCCTTTGAGGAGTTCTACTGGATGAAATGCAACCTTTTTAACCCTTAATGCTTAACCCTGATAAACACTGGCAGAGTTGTTACATGGAGGCGATAAGACTATCCCGAGTTCTTCTATGCGCTGCAGGAAGTCTGCAAGATGGTACTGTAGAATTCCTTTTTTTTTTGTTGTTTTGTTTTTAATGTAGAATCACATGCAAGGTGCCAGATATCCCAGACTCCCACTTGCAAGAAAAGAGTGCATCTCTTTCTGCAAAGACGAAGCCTGACACTGCCAGCTATGCCACGGAAGACAGCCTGAGCCAGGATCTTCTTCCTAGTTACCATCTGGAGTAGCATCTCAGGTTGAAATAAGATCTGGCAAAAGGAATAGATTTTGCCTCATCTGTTGCTTTTCTCAAGCCTGATAACTATTTTATTTTAGTGTCTTTCAGCTAGTGAATAAAGCACTGGATAGGGAAAATTACCTACAATAGTGTGATCAAGCTGGAGAAGCAAATAGATGAGGGTGGCCTGTCTAAGTGGAAGTTACAACTTAGAATCGCACATTCCATGATCTCAGCTCTAGTATTCTGAGTTTCTTGACTGAGCCAGCAAAAGAGTCACCTAGATCAATGCAGCCTCCTTGTTTCTGTTCTACATTCATGACTTGCATTATTCACTATCTGCTTCAACATTACAACTCTTGATTCAACTTCTAAGACTTGAATGGTTTACAAAAACTTTTTAAAAACAATTATAGCAACAATCTAATTTTTTTCATGAATCATACATTCAAAATAAATGCATGCCTTGCACTGGAGAGAAACATAATTAGAATTTGATAACTGTTACCTGCAACAGCATTCACTTATGCAAGTATTTAGGATAGAGTACAGTTTACTGTTGTCTATCAAATTGCATAAATCTGGTAGATACTGCCTGCAGTTAAGGTGTGTTCAGGTGCGTTTTCTCCCTTCGGATAACACTGTTACAGATGATAAAACTTTTAACATTTGCAACTGCAAACACTACAGAAATTGTTTAAGTATGATGGAGATTGTAGGGTAAACATTAAAATTCAGTGTCTGGAATCTGACTTTAAAAGAACTCTGACATTTGCTTGGACATCATCATTAACATGAATAATGAAAAAAAAAAAAACCCTAATATGCTCAAAGTGGCTAAATTCCTTCAAATCACTACTAAGCTAAAAGCCACTGGAAGCCAAAGAAAGTGGTAGAAAAAATTCCTAGTGTGATCAGCTGAGATACAATTTTACAAGCCTTCACTGCTATTCAGCCTCTGTTTTATCCTAACGCTACAGTTGGCAGTAGAAATGTGCAGACGTACTCTGAAAGGTTAGCTAGAAGCTGAAATGCTATCAGGAGGCTAACAGATTTCAGACAAGGAAGAGAAGTGTCATTCTTCCAATATACGTATAATCAACAATTTCTAGAACCACAAATATATTTAAATTCCTACTGATTACATACTTAAATTCCCACTCTTTATTTGCTAAGAAATATTTTGCTTAACCAATAAACATATTCACGTTTGCTTCTTACACTTCTACACGGAGCTGTTGGAAGGAGAGTTCTAGCTGTATCAGATTTAACCTAAGGTTCTTTTTCCCCCTCTGTTCCTTACAAAAATTATATAACTCTACATTAATTGTGTTAGCTGATCCAACTTGTGCAGTTGCCCGTTCTCTAGCGCTCTGACAAAAGTGAGGGGGTAGGAACATGTGGTCAGGGAAGGGAGAACAGGACTGTCCCTTAGAGCAGCTACACACCATCACAGCAGCATTTTAACAAAGTCGCACCTCCCTTACCTTTCATTTGCCAATTGGGAAATATTACTATGATCTGTCCTGTTGTCCTTATATGTTAGAAGAGAGCTATATAACCCTGCTTAAATTATGCATAGTGCTGATATTTTAACAACCAGAAAGTAAGAAAGATTATAGGGCAGATCAGGTTTCCCTGATAGTACCGAGGAAACATGCAGCCTGATTCAACACATGTGGACATAAATCCTGGAGATGAAAACAGAGTCCGGTGGCTCCAGAACTGTCAGCATAGTAGATGGCAACTTTAGTATGGTGGTGTATAACGATCTTTCCTCTCAAGAGGATTATTTTTTCATTAGGCCCTGCAGGCCTGGATTTATTTTTTTGTTTACCATGGCTCATATTCTTCTTTGGTAGAGCACTGACTGCACTTAGTGGTTGTCAGGCTTCATTTGCTTATGAGAACAGTGATGCCAAAATGTTACCTCTATACAGCTCGCCCTCTGACTTTTTAAGTACTCTATCCTATTAAAATGCAAATTTATTACAAGAGAGGGTAAAAGTTGGTAATAAGTACATTTTCCTGTAAGTCTAATAAAAAGCACAGAATAGGATAAATCATACCATCATTCCTATGGGTAACCTTTTTTGTTATTCCTAACAAGCAGGATTATAAAAACGAATGTTTTCTTGTTCCTAATATGCACATGCCTCTTTTTCAAATAATACTTCAGCAGTTTGATGACTTTTCCCCACAAATATATATTTTCCTTTTTTCTGCATATTGTATGATTCAAACCTTGCCTCACTAACAAAAGATGATACAGTATCAACAGCTACTCCTGCTCGTTATTTGAGGAAAAACTCATCTATTCAAAGATGAGTTAAAATTTAATTATTTGTTATAGAACTACAGAAACAACCAAAGCCAAATCTTATTCTAGAAAAAATAGTAAGCTAAGGGAAGAGAGAATTTCCAAACTGAAACATATTGCATGTTAAAAGATTCATTAAGGATCTTAAGCTCTTCAAAATTCTTTTCAGTGTGAGGAAAAACAATTTGGTATTTATATATCCACACAAATTAAATATTTAAGATTATAATTAGTGTTGTTGAGATATAGGTTAAAAATACCAATAAGCAATAGGATGTTTCACATAGCTTTTGGCCACCATACTCCTAGCATTTAAGCGTGCAGTAGGAATTTTAGAGCCGATCAGATGGTGGATCGTTCTTTGTCCGAAATCATGTCTGAAATCTGTTTTCTACTGGAAATATGTTTCATAAAAATAAATTAATAACAATAATGATAATAATTACTGAATGCAACCAGTCCCTCACTATTACATATCCTTTCTACAAAATAAAGGGAAAATTAACAAACAGACCTTTGCCATGGAAAATTTAAGCTTAACCCTTCTGTAGTCACCAAGTCACCTTGACTTATGCGTGCCACTGAGACCTAAAAAAGTTATGTTTAAGAATACTGCTTCAGCGGTGTTAACGGCATGAGCCTTTAAACTCAGCAAACAGAAACCTTTGCAGTTGGGATCAGTTTAGTGCGAGAGCTCTGTGTGGACAGATACACATTCTCCTCAGATCAATCTCGTTTTACTCGTTTACATGCCACCGTCTCAAAACACCCGTTCTGAAGTGACCTGATGGAGCATCACGCTTGGGGCGCACACAGCCTCCTCCACACTGCAGCTGAGCTAAACTGCTCCAAGGACTGAAAGGAGCTTAACCTTAAACTGCCCCAGGGGCAAATCCCATTTCCCCAGCCCTGCACCTCGGAGCATACTTCCATCAGCAGAATTACATTTTTTGTTGTTCTCAAGTAAGAAGGGAGTGGGGAGGGGATGCTGCACAGCCCAGACAAAGAGGGGAAGGAGTATTGCTGAGCTAAAGGCGCAATAGTTTCATGCCCTTTTACTCTTGTATCCTGAACCCCTTAGGGGAAATTATGTTTTGAGATTTGATTATTGGTTATCAAATGACCTTACTGCCACTCTACAGCCTGCGGGAACAAAAGCGCAATTCCTTCCCCCTCCGCAGCCCGCAGGGACCTCCCCAGCCCACCATAAGGAGGCAGACTATGGACTTAAGTGTCTGGAAGTGGTGGAGCAGCTGCCTCCTTACGCTGGCAGAGTTTGCAAGTCCTTAAGGCAGGCAGATAGATCCAGGGAATGATAAACAAATGCCTATCGATCACTCCCTGCAGCCTCAGTAAACCCAACTGAAGAACCTCTCCGGACTTCACCAGCAGGATTTTAGTTTTTAGAGACAACATGGATTTGGTACTAGCTAATGAAAGATCAGCCTAATCCTACTTCCTTCCACATCTGCTATAGACATATTCTTACTACTGTCCTAAAAATGTCTTTTAAATCCCATATTAAGTATATTTACTCCTCTCCATCCTATCATTGCATAGGCATCAGGCCAGTCTACGTCAGATAGCTCTGTTCTACTGGTTCCTCATGTTCTTGAGCGCTCCTGAAGACGACAGACTTTTTAAAGCTATTTTAAAATTCTGAAAAGACAATTTTACCACAATGCAAATCATTCCACCTGGAGTCAAACGGAAGTCAAATTGAAAGGATGTTGTAGAAGACCGAACGAGATACACGTGTGAATGCCCAGCTCAGCTACAGACCACCTTTAATGCTTTTGTGTCTCAGTTTCCCATCCACAAAACAATGATAACTCTCCCCCTTTTCCCTCCTCTGGGCTATCCATTTCAGGTACTAGTTCTCCTGGACAGGGACTGCCCCACTTAAAGCACGCGCGTGGTGTGCAGCATAACCTCAGCTGGGCTCGGTAAGTTCCAACAGGATGCACTAGAAACGTTCCGCTGAAGGAATTGTTTTCTGATTTTTTTTTTGAAACTAAAACGAAACACGTTACAGATAACACACTGGCAATTACTTGATTTAAACCCTGTCTTTATTT